GCAGCAGTATTCAAAACAAAGACAAATAGTAGACTTTTGATGACCATACTTTCTCACCATGTTCCATGTTATATTTAGTGGTTATATATAATTGAGTAAATATCTATATATCTTTTATAAAGTGTTAAATAAATTCTTACTGGCCTAGAGATGGAGAAACTTACTACACGAAGTGCCTTTCTGGACCTGTATCCCTTTTTTTCATTCACAGAAACCATTTTTAAGTTAAGTGCGCCTTCCATGTAAATCAATGCTTCCCCTTGACAATGAAGATTTGTCGGATTTCACCCATTTTTCTGGTTCACAGAGTGCTTGCGATAAGCAAAGCAGTCACAATCCTTCATGGTGCTTTCATTGGAGAAGCTCTATCAAATTTAGGAAGACTGAAAGTCCAAGGATAGAATCCTGGTGAACATATGCATTAATGTAAAATGGTGTAGAAGAATTGCACTTTCACTGTTGCGTATAATTGCAATTCCATAATGAGCAAAGCGATTTAGAAAAACATTGATCATCCCGAAAAGATTATTACAAAATATTATAGCGTTTAAATTAAGAAGATAAATTGTAAAATTAAATTTTGAAATTGTCATCTTTTAAAATAAGAAAGTGATTTATGCCGAAAACTCAGTTATTGTTATAATGTTTGAAGTTTCAAACAAAGCTTTGATATGTAAGTGCATTGAAATCAAAATTATTATTATTATTATTATTATTATTATTAATATAATTATAGAATAATTGCTTTAACCCATTTTTATTAAATATATTCGTCTTTCTTCAGAACAGGATATAGGCTATCATGGATCTCCACCAATGCTAAGTTGCGTTCTGTCATCGTCGATGGGACACCAAACTAACGCCAGTCACGATGAAAGGATGTCTCCTCGGTGCTTTGAGTGACTAATGGGTTTGAAACTGAACATAGACCTTAAATGGAAGTCATACATATGATCCATCGCTAAAGATGTAGGAAAAATTATCGGCTCCATGTACCACTATAGTAACGACCTTACTCCTCATGTTATCCTATACATTTACAGGCGCCATGTCAGGCCTAAAATGACGTATTGTTGTCATATTTAGAGTGGAGCCACCCACTCGTCAATTTCCAGGCTCGATAAGGCTGAAAAATGTTTCCGACTCACTGGGGCGTGTGGCAAGCCTCATAGCGTTCTATCGTTAGTTCCATTAAAAGTGCTCGGAAGAACTACATTCTTTAGTCCCAGTTCGAACCTTCACGTCTAAGACCAGCTAGACCACTCTAATCAGCGCAAGCCACCCACATTCCCTCCGTATTACATCGGTCAGAATCAAGTTCCGCTCGAAAAGCTTCTTCCTGCGAAACACTTCTCTGTGGAACCGACTCACAAGATGTTTCCCAGATGACAACAATCTTAACCCGTTAACTGTTGTCCCCTCCCTCCTCTCCGTATAAGCTGCTTCTTAATGTAACCGTCTACCTCGAGTACACTTCCGGCCTTGTTCATGGTGGGCCTCACTGTAAAAAACAAAACAACAAAAAAAAAAAACACCTGCTTTTCCCACAAGCTCGTCAGGTAGGTCGCTGTGGTCTTTCCCTATATCACTTGCCCCCAATGTGTTCCCTGAGGTTTAAGTTTTCCAAGTCCTCTATCCCTCATTATGTGTTCAAGGAATCTCAGCTCTCTTTTACTGATTTTGAGTAGAAGTGTTCTATCTGTTGCTATTTCTTTTAACACTTGTTTCTTACTTACTCACTCCGTTCATGAAATTTCCAATATGTTTCTGTAGAATCATATTTCTGCTGCCTCTAGAGTTCATCATACCGTGGGACGATTTTTCAGCATTCGCTGCCATATAAGAGGATGGATAACACAACAATCCATCTCTCGTGACTTTCTTTCTAATGATTTTCCCGTTTCTCTGCACCTTGTTTAGCATTTTAAATGTTTCTTTACCAAGTCCCATGCGTGTTTGCACCTTGTTGTCGCATTTTCCATTGTTAAAACGCTTTGAAATTCTGCACCATCTTGATATTTATATATCCAATATGTATATCTCCTTTTGGGCTTTCACTCTTGCTTATCACCATATTTTCTCTGTTCGCACAGATGATGGTTCATCCTTTTATCTTGATTTCACCTACTACCCTGTCCTGGATAAGACGATAAACTACATCCAACAGCATGGCCTCTAATCAGGAGGTTTTGAGGAGTGTAAAACCACCTCCTAATTGTTGGTATTCCCAGGTCCACCCTGACCCCGGGTGATAGAACCTGTTATTGTTCCAGATATGGGCAAATAGTTAACCCTCAAAATTGGGACAAAACACTATGAAAGTGTAAAAATAGGTTTTAATACCAGAAATATTTTGTAAAAAATTATTACCAGCAATACATTTTTGAAAAATTATTACCAGCGATACATTCTGAAATAAAAATAAAAATGAAAAAAATATTACTAGTAATAAAAATCTTCTTAGCAATAAATAACACATTGAGGTTGATATGCCGTAAAACATAACAAACCCAACCTTAAAGTTAGTTCCAGTAGATAAAATGTTATATTTAGTGGCTATATACAATTGGGTAACTATCTGTTTTTTTTTATTATAAACAGTTCAATGGATTCTTACCGGTCTAGAGATTGAGAGTCTTACTACAGAAAGTGTCTTCCTTAACGTATATCCCATTTTTTAATCTAAGAAACCACTTTTAAGTTAAGTGCGCTTTCCATGTAAACCAATGCTTCCCCTTGACAATGAAGATTTGTCGGATTTCACCCATTTTTCTGGTTCACAGAGTGCTTGCGGGATAAGCGAATCAGTCACAAACCTTCATGGTGCTTTCATTGGGGAAGCTCTATCAAACTAGAGTGCGTTTGTATGTCTCTGTAACTTGTTTTTAGTGTTTCATTTTTTATACTGAAGTAAAATTGGTTATAACACAACTAGATATCCTATTATGAAAAAAAACCTGATAAAGACAAAACATACATTCTTATCTGACAATTCCACATATTCCTTCAATACACTTATACTTTTGAGACATATTTATAATCACGACAGAAGCTAGCTAAAGCTGGAACAATAAAAAAGGATGGGAATGTTATAAAAACTGTTACATATATAATAATTTCACACGTAATTATTAGGAAAATTGGGCAACATTATTATAGCAAACATTACAAATGACTATTTAGGAACAGTAAAACTGTGTATCATAGGAAACATTAAATTGGTACTGTCTTATGATTTGGTACTCCGTCGGAGCTTCATCACTTCTGTGTTTCTTTTATTTTAGCTTTTGTTGTCACACAAATTCAGGAATTCTTTCTTGATCCACGGCTGAATTTTCTTCCTTGGCTTTCCTGGAACCACTTCATTTGTTGAGAGTATGACTTCTTTGAGCCTAAGACGAGAGTGTCTACCTCTGTGTCAAGAAAGTTGAGGGCTGCAAACCTTCTACAGACTTGGGCCTGTAAAATTCTACGACTTAAGGATCCTTCAATTTCTCAAGCTCAAAGCAGGGTAGGGGCATTTATGCCAACGCTTAGTTGATGTCTGCGTCAGGGAATGGCGTTGTTTTCCGCCTTGTTGACGTTAAACTTGAAGCATTGAGGAACAAGAATGAAGAGATTGTGTATTTGATTGTTAGCTGAGTGTTATGTTGTGGTTATAGACATCCTATACAGTTGTAAAGTTTTGACCAATCTGACCCGATGGCTTCTGATAAACGAAAGCATTCTATTTGATCTCTTCGATGCCAAATACGCCGATTGTTCTTGTCCAGTTGTCGTATCCGCCTGGGTCTATTTTGGCATGAAAATCCTGTTGTGCAATGACGAAGTCTTTTTGGGGGACTTCCGCTATTGGGGATTCTATAAATTCATAATATTTTTCGATTCTTCATCATCGTAGTTATTGCAATATTTATTCCTAATTAAGAAATGATTATATGAATTGAAAAGCCATGTCCTTTTGACAGTGGTTTTTATACCATTGCTTTGCATATTCAAACACTAGATCTACTTCTAACGTAAGTTTTATTTATTCCCAACTTACAATGTTATTTTCAACATATTATACCTATACAGAAATATTTATCGGGTCTATGAACCGTAAATATATTTCTGGAAACTTGGTAAATCTGTACTGTGTAAGAATGTTTAGATTTTTACAGAAATAAAAGGAGCAGAAGCCAATTTTGTCAGTTGAAACAATGTATTCAGAAATTCAAAATGCCATTAATTTTAAAAACAGATGTAAAAAAAAAACATTCTTATATAAACAAACCATTTAATTATGAGATTTCCAAATGGGAAAAATCCCCTTAAAACTCGCTACTATTCATATAAAACCAGTTCAAGATATATCAGCTGATGTAATTGTTATTCCTTTATCATTCGGTTTTCTTTAAAAGTGAAACTGAGAAAAAAATCAGCAGAGACACATATGCCCTTTTAAATTAAATAATACATGTATCTTGTAACAATCCCAATATTCAATTCCACTTGAGTTAGACTGATATCCGTAAAACGTAATCTAAATAGACATTTTTGTATCATCGGAGTCATTCGCCATACAACACTTGCCTGTCATTATATTTTCTTTTAGTGCTTTTTATCGCTCATTTCTTTAAGATGATCTGTGCGTGAACGTGTGCCTAAGATGTTTTCTCTGATGAGTTCGGCCCGGTGGTCTGATTCGATAAATATTCCTGGTTGCTGGGAAGAGTTCATTTGAAAGTAAATCATAAGGCGACGTGAAATCCATTTGTTTCTTAAAAAATAAAATACGTAAAAGAGAAATAGAATTAGAGAGCGGGGAAAGGTCAGAAGGAAAACGGAAAGAAAGCATACATGAAGAAAGGAGTATTTAATTAAAGTAATAAAATAAATACCTTGAAAGAATGATAAAAGAAAACATGAAAAGCGATAAGGGAATTCTGGGAGAAAGCATTGTAGCAGTAAAAATGTAGAAACAATAATTAATAATTAACAGCAGAGAAGTCAGGAAATCAGGAAATAAAGAGGGCAAATGAAAGATCGACATACAGAGAAAAAAATTTACAAATGCTAAAAAAAAGAAAAAAAAGAAAAAGAAGAGGAAGTAGAAAAAAAGGGGAAGATGAAACAGTGGAAAAGAATAAATGTGAAAAATTTTCAACAAAAGAGGCGTGTGTTCGCCAACGAAAAAAAAATGGGAAGAACGAAGAAAAGAAACCAGATATTATGAAAGAAAACATATCACTCAAAATAAATGTAAAAAACATGAAACAAATTGAACAAAAAAAAAAAAAAAAAGAATGAAAACAGTTTTAAAAGTGATAAATCACTAATAAGTTTGAAAGAGACGGAACTAAAATCATAAAAGATAAAGCTGAGAATGAAAGCTAGTGACAGATTTCAACTCCAGGAGAACATTGAAAAGTAAGTGGACATGACATTCAATTATATCAGCCACTCGTGAAAAGAAATTAAGGATCACATTTGCCATACTACAAGCGATCTGGACATTTATCCTTTTGCATTGTGATATTTCCCGCCGTTTGATCTGCGGACGGTCGATGAGAAATGACACGCATGCGTTGTAGGTGAAAGATTTCGTGAGCTTTAAGATATATCAACATCTAAAACTGTGGGAATATATAAGAAAGAACACAGTGTTATACAATGCTTTATCTTTCAAAGAAATGCATGACAAGCATACTGGGAAATGAATGATTACGAAATTGAAGTAACTTCTCTGAAATGTTATTAGTAAAAGCCAACGTACGATACCGCAACTAAGAACGACTGCGTTGCTTCAAAATGTCGAAATCGAACTTTATTAAAGGGTTTGGCAAATCTGAATGAAAAGCCAGTCAATAAAATGCATCCTCTTACCTTTCATTTATATAGAAACTATACTTGAATAATACCAGTTGAAAAAAAAAAACTAGTATTCGACAAAAGAGAATATACATTTTATTCATAGTTTTGTATTGTATTTCAAACATTTCCTTCCATTTGAATAAAAGACAGTGAATCACGATGTAATTTTAAACTGTTGTGAATATTTCTAACTTTAAATTCACCGCTTAATTTTCTCTCGCCAACTTTTTGCATTAGAAACCAAACTCAAGTCTAGCCTCAGAATATATAATAAACCTTCTATTTCTGAACATTCAAGTAGTTATTTCCTCCTTTTGGCGGTTGATAGAAATTTATAAATTTTCGTAGTCTTTTACTTTTTCTTATTTACTTCATAAAACTGTAATCAGAATGATTTTTAATGTCTTTTTCTCAGTTCGTTCAAGTGCTATCTGCCTTTTTTTACTTCCGGTTTGTTTTGTCTTCCTTTTCCTATCAACTTTTCCATTTTCATAAAGAGATTACAAAATAAAGGATACGTTGGACATAACAGAAATCTGAAAAAAAATATAATATTTGTCACATGAGTAGAAAATATTCTTAAATGGAGAGAACAAAATTATAGAATGTAAAAAGAAAATCATCCCGAAGGTAACTCGACAGATAGAAATGAAACAGAATGAGAAAATGACAAACAGCATCTCACAGTATGTTCATGTGTTAAAGCATAGTGATTAGTTTGGTAACGAGTAATGGCCTTTAGCGGCTCTCAAGCACTGTTATCAAACCAATGACGCCATATTTAATGTTATTCTCTCATTTTCGTGGCTTTTTCCTTTCGAAAAGTAAAACACGGTTTATACCATAATACATTTTTTGTACATCTCTCTACTGTAATTTGGTTACTACTATGTTTATTTCAGTTTTTATTCTGTTACTTTTATTAATTCTAATTTCCCTTGCATTTATTTGCTTTTTTAATTATAATATTTGCTTTTTGGGCTTTGGTTTTGCATAAAAAAAATACATGCTAAGTACATAAAATACATTTAAGATACAAATGCCTATAATATTAGATATATTAAAAATAAATTCATACAATTTACGAAAAATACCCTAAGGTTATAAACACAGAAAGAATGAAAGACTGAAGCAGATGTAGCGTGAAAGAGAGAAAGAGTGGAAGAAAGATAGAAAGATTGGAAGAAAGATGAATGGAAGCGTAGAAGAGAGAAAGAGGGGAAGAGAGAAAGTGTGAAAGAAAGAAAGAAAGAAAGAAAGACAGAGTGGAAGAGTGAATGAATGGAAGAGAAAAAAAGAATAGACGAAAGAAAAATGCAAGAACTGACAAATGAACGAAAGAGTAAATGAAATCCGGAAGAAAAAAAATAAAGAAGAAAGAACGAATAAAATAAAGCAGGAAAAACAGAAAACAAGAAAGAAAGCAAGAAGTGCTCTCCCGAACTGGCTCCTGTTCTCTCTAAAATGTATAATAAATGACTCGCTGCCTCCTGATTTCTTGCCTGCTGGAAGTCATCATCTGTTCCAATTCTGGTGAACCGTTCACCCATTCCAATATCGGCCTATTAGCATTTTACCTCTTTTGAGAAATTCCTAGAGGTCCTAATCAATGCTGAATTGTTTCATCATCTCTCAGCGCAGGGCCTTTTATCAGACAAGAAATATGGCTTTCGTTTCTTCAGGTCAACTCTCGATTAACTGCCGATATTTGTGGAAAGAATTTATCATGCTTTAGATAAGAAAAGGTGAAGCTCTGGCAGTTGTATTGGATATCTCGAAAGCCTTTGAGATTGTCTGACATTCAGGTCTTCTCCACTAGCTGAGAAGCTACGGTGTCTCCGGAAACTTTTATGAACTGATCCAGTCTTTCCTATCACCTATCGTCCACTCATCTAGATCCTTTCGTACTAACGTAGGTGTCCCTCAGGGCTCCATACTTGGTCCTACTCTATATTTAATATTCATTAATGACCTTCCTTATGACATCAGCTCTCAACTTGGTATCTACGCTGACGACACAACAATTTGCTCTTCTCTCGAGAGTTAGGCTTATCAGTCCGGCAAGGCCTAAATGTCAGCTGGTATCCAAAACGACCTCGGGACCGTCGTTAACTGGTACAAAAGATGGCTTGTCAATTGTTAACGCCTACAAAACTACTCTTCTTTCTATGAATAATCTGAGAGAGCTCTTGTTGCTTTCAGAATGCCTAATGTTATCCTCCAGGAAAGTGAAACGTTGCACATGTTGATATGAAGTGGAAAGATTATACTGAATCTATTGCTAGGACTATATTGTGCGAGACAATTTTTCTCTTCAGAATCTATCTTAAATATTTTTAAGCCTACCATTCGAATTAGAATAATTTTCCATATATGTTCAGGTACCCCTGATGTTTACCTTGAGCTCTTTGATAAGATCCAAAAAAAATATCTGCAATATTATTCACCCTGATCTGCCGGCTCGGCTTCAGTCACTTTGCCACCGATGTAAATTTGCCTCTCTGTGATTTTTTATACTTTCATGGTAATTGTTTGAATGAGCTCTTTGCTATGATACACTTTTTGAATGTAGGCGTAGCACTAGACTGGCATCGGCATCTCATCAATTTAGAGCTGAGATGGCTAGATGCAGCCGTAAGTTCTATGCTAACAGTTTCTTCTCTTGCACTTCTCGCTTATGAAATTCCTTTCCGGCTCCAAGCTTTCCAGCCAACTTTAATCTGGAAAAATTTAAATGCAATGTCAATTGATATTTACAGTCTATTCTATTATCAGTGCTAATGAGAATTCTGTCAGTTTTCAAGAGCTGTTTCAATACGAGTTTATTTTCCCGTATCGAGTCGTTTCTAGTCGAATTGATTGTATGGCAAATAGATAAAAAGAACTTAAAGAAGTTAAACTTGAATTGTTGCGGTAGAATTAATTATATTTTCCCGTCCTTCAGTTTACATACTCTCTCAATCACTGAGGCTTATGTATTTATCGTGTACCATTCACAAACGAAATGGTATAGAGAAAGCAAAAAAAAAAAAAAGGTCGCATTCTTTAATCAAGAATAAAATTAATGCATTTAAAGGTTACATGGAATAGATGGAAGCGTTTGTGGATATGTATATGGCCTCTCAATTTATCTATGTAGGTGCATGTGTGAGTTTTGTGTGTGTGTCTATATAAAATGGGCTTATGTCCGTATCAAGTTGAAACAGTGGTTCTCGTATGATGACCAGTCTTAAGCAACGTCGATACTGGTCAGTACCTAGGTGGATGACCGTTTTGGAATACCGGGTAATGTAAGCTAGGTTGTGCGGGTGGTGTAATGGATAACGGCTCTGTATTGGAAATCAGCGACCAGAGTTCCAGTTCCGGTAGGGTTCGCTATATTCACTTACGCGCAAATAAACTTGGGTTATGTACGAATCCTTCTCTTCTCCTACCAGCAAATCATTATTACCCCCCCCCCCCCAAAAAAAAATTCTTATAATTTAAAAATATTCTCTGGCTTTAAATAACCTGCAAGCGATTGATATGTCATAAAAAAACAAATTAATCATAAGAAACAATCAATTATGTAATATGTTTACTATTAAAAAATAATTGCATATGTTGTCGAATTCAAAGCGTAAAATATAATCTATAATCGGGAGACTAGTAAAGGCGCATATCATAGCGACAAAACTGCTGCATCAATAAATAATAATAATAATAATAATATATATATATATATATATATATATATATATATATATATTCAGTTTTATGGATATGGTTTTGTGACCCTGGTTTTCGCGTTTTTGCGATAATCAAACAAAACCTGGGTCACAAACTCAGATCCATACAAATGAATATGTTAGTTCTATCACTGATATTGACTTCATTTCCAGTACTGCACATACAAACTAATATATATATATATATATATATATATATATATATATATATATATATATATATATATATATATAAGTGAACATAGATTCAACGTCAGGCGACGAGGCTGTTTCATGCATGAAACAATCTGTCAGGCCACGGTGCGTGTTGACTTCAATGTTCATTTTTATATTTACACACACTCTATCTCTGATTTTGAGCACTTTATCCCATATATATATAGCACATCTTAAGATATATATATATATATATATATATATATATATATATATATATAGGTGTGTGTGTGTGTGTGTGTCTGTGTGTGTTAACATTATCACCTTCAATCAAAATCTACTCTGCTTTAACTTGTCAAATACGAGTGATTTTGCTTTCTTCTTGAATGAAGAGGATATAGAGCGCGATGTACTGACATTTAAAAATAATGGTAGAATGACAAATATTCTCTTTTTCTCCACATTGCAGATAGAGTTTTCTACATCTCGTCTGTCAACATGGGACTAATTTCTTCTCCTTTGAATCTTTCAAATATTGCTTTCTCAGCTGCCTGTGTTTAATTCATTTTCCAATCTGTGAGAAGTTGCTTTTGACGTAATTTAAAACAACTGAACGTTTCAATTACTTTTTTTTTTAAAACTTTTTTTCAGTTTCTATTTCTTTAATCACGTTAAAATTAATTTAATATCTATTCCACTCATCAATTAAGGTTTCTTTTTTCGTGACCCAAATCCACGATAACCTTTAATAAACTATGCAAACTAACAAAATGATTTTAACATGTCTGTTCCAAAAAAAGCGAGGAAATTTTGACACCACATTCAACAGAAGCGAAATATATACTGCGAAGTAAAATTGTAAAAAAGACCTCTTAAAACCAATCAGTTTACACCATAACAACTATTCAGAATATGTGTAGTTATGTTGTATGAATTTACACCAGCAACCTTTGTTCAAAATTTCCAAGAAATTTAATTATCACCAACGATGGAAAAGGTGATAGAAATCTGATGCTGCTTGGTTTGGTTTGGTTTGTTTTACGGTATATCAACCTCAATGGGTTATTTAATGCCGACAAGATTTTTATTGCTCGCAATATTTAAAAAAAAATGTATTGCTGGTAATATTTTTTTCAAAACATGTATTACTGGTAATATTTTTTCAAAGCATGTATTGCTGCTAAAATTTGTTTTCAAAACATGTATTGCTGGTAATATATTTTTCAATAAGGTATAAACTTTTACATAATCCCAATATTCAATTTTACATGGTATTAAAGCTTATTTTTACACTTTCATAGTATTTTGGCCTCAGTTTGGTTGTTAACTATTTGCCCATAGCTGGGGCCCTAATAGTTGTTATCTCCCTGGGTCAGCGTGGACCTCAAAACCTCTTGATCAGAAGTCTTTATGTCGGATGTAGTTTTTTTTTTCTTACCCAGGATGTGGATGTAGTTTTTTTTTGTCTTACCCAGGATGTGGATGTAGCTTATCGTCTTAACCAGAACGGCCGATGGTGCATTGGAATATCAAATAATGCATTCCAAATTCGAAATATATTAAGAAACGCTAAATGTCATTAGAAACAAAGAGTGATGAACTGCTATTTCTATGATCCTGACAATACTATCGATGCAATCAACGAGGATGTTTTAAAGAAAATCGAAACAAAACGGACACTTATTCTTGCAATCAGAAGGAGAATTTCTGGGTCATATCATGAGGAAAAGGCTTGGAGAATTTGACACTGAAATTGCATATTGAGGGTCAGAGGGAAATGGTCAGTAAATTATATTATACTTGTATAGTGATTTACTAAGTATAAATTAGTTGTGGAATTGGACACCCCGTGAGGATTGAACTCAAGCGTAACTGATCTAGTGAGACAAACTGGCTAAACATTACGTCTCTCCGTGACGTAAGCGATCATAACTTTCCACAGATTTATTTTCTTTATTATTTGGAATTGTCATGCATTCTTAGGAAAGAGAGTGGAATCGCACCCTGTTGCCTTTCCTACTCTTTGGAATTCAGAACTGTTCATTTATTTATATTGGTTGTTGTCCAAAGTTAAAGAGCCAACTCTACCATGCATTACTGCGAAAATATATATAAGAGACTAGCGTAGAATTTGGACTCCATTTGCCATTTATACTCTTCGAGCAGATATCCGCTATGCTATTCACACAGACCGCGTCGAAGTACCCATGTTTGTATAAATGGTTGGTAGCATGGAGAATTGGAGAAACAGTAAAAAGAAGAGCAGTGCTTCCAGATAGGGAAGATAGGAAGTTGTGGAGAGCAATAATCGCCTACGTTCTGAATGAATAGTTCACATAAAGGAAAAAGAAACATGAATGACTAGCAGCATGGCCCGGCGTTGCCCGTGCTTAATTAAAAAATCGTACGACTCATACAGCAATCGCTATCACTTGACTCAAAATATTTTTGGCCTTCCTTGCCTTTTAAGGAGTGTCCTTTGCCGTGCTGATGTTGCTACATGCCTTACTTCTTGCCTATCTCACACTGCGAATTTATTCTAAGCTCTAGACTAAACATTAAATCTGTTACGAAAAAAGAACTAGACAAAATGAAGACAAAACGATCAGCTTTAAAAAAGGACGCGTAACTGGAAAACCGAATGAAAAAAGAATTTTAACAACAAATAATTTTTCACACCCAACCCAGTTCTGCGGAATCAGAATCAACGTTGAGTTTAAGCAAGCGAATGAACCAATTGGAGTAAACTGCCATGCAGATTAAAATTTTTCCCACTTGTGACGAATGCATCTATCGATTTTTTTTGCATGCTAGCATGCTAGTTAACATTCGTGTCAGTCAGCTGTTGGCTCTCACGCTGGCCAGTAGAAAATGGTCGAAAACTACATGAAAACTGCCGTAGAAGCATGAAAAAATCGATTATTTTCACTATCGATGGGAGTTTGGGAAATGCAAAGTCGGTCTTGGCCTTTCCGCTAACTTGGAGCATGTGCAAGTAAATTTTGGTTCAAATCCGTCGAAAATTGCGGCCGTGCACTCGTTACACACACACGTACATCCTGCCTTTTATAAATAGAGATATATTTACAGGGTGCAATTATATGTAGGCCATAGTGTTTAAAATCAAATTACTTGAAGACATGGAATTCATTTTTTCTTTAATTTAAATAGATTTTCAGGTTACGTAAAGGCTAAATGCTAATTCCCCACCTTTTTTTTTATATTAAAAATTGGTCCGTAACCTTTTCTCTTATTCTCCTCCTATGATTAGCTTTTCATTGACTATTTTAACATTAACGATGCAAGAAAAATCTTGTCTGTTTTGTGCAGATCTTGCCTAATTTCGTTCCAAAAATATAAAATATCCGAAATGTGTTTAATAACAAAAGTAATCCATTACATTGATATTCTGCCATTCTTTGTTCTCACGAGCCAAGTAATTGCGCAGAGTCGAAATGGAGGTAAAGCATATGATATATATTTTGTCTTTAAGCATTACGCCCCGAGCAAGGCGTGAAGCCACTAGGATGCAGGGGGTTGCAGAAGATTTGGAGCAAGATCAGATAGGAGTGATAGAAGAAAGGATGAGGAGAGGGATAGTGGGTAGATCAAGGTAACTGTATATGTCGATTGACATTACATTTGAATAGTTGGAGATTATAGCTCTCGGGGAAACAGTAATTGGGAAGGGTGTATCACAGGCGAGAGGTGCGAGGTATGAAGCTATTGGAGTAGAAGAGACGGCTACATTTAAAAGTTTCTACAGTGTAAGTGTGGGAGCGGGATGCCAGCCTCGTAGGGCGCTTGAATTCATGGAGTCTGGGAACCAGTGAAAGCAGCTCATAGGAGCAATTACCATGAAAGTATTTGTAGAAAAGACAGAGAGAGGCGATGGCGCGTCTGTGAGAGAGTGACTGCAGACGAGACAGCGAAATAACTTTTTCACTGATTTCTTATCTTGAGACATGGACGATATATCTTATTTTTCTAATACCATATTTTACTCGCTTCCAGGAGAAAATATTTTGTACTTTGACAATGACGAAGCAATCGCTTAAAATAAGATATGAATTATTTTTTTGTTTATGTCTGATTTACACTCAATGCGATTCTGAAAAAAAAGAAAAAAAAACTTGACTTGCTGACCAGAAAAAAAAA